CCGAGGTTTCACTTAACGGATCTTCAGGGTACTACTGGTTGAAGATGTGTTAGGTGAAATCACCCTATACATATACATATATTCAATCACCCTGTATATATACATATATTCAATCACCCTATATATATACATATATTTAATCACCCTGTATATATCGGTGAATATCTCTGTTGTAATGTCCATATAACCACTCTGATGATGGCCAATGTGAGCCGAAAGCTTAGAGCGACGACCAATATAATAAAAAATATCCAAATGTTGGACAGTTTTTGTCTTATTTTCTCTTGAAACTAAAGTCATTATACGACGTTTGATAAAAACATAATAGACATTAGTTGTCTGATATATTTAACAATATATGTTTGAACAATATATATATATATATATATATATATATATATATATATATATATATATATATATATATATAGAGAGAGAGAGAGAGAGAGAGAGAGAAATTAATACAAAATATAAAATTTGTCACTTTGCTGATTAATGTTATATTCAACACCCCGACTGCAGAGTTTCGTAGACGACCCATTTTATAATCCTTCGGTCCACTCGTCAGGAGGTTTCACCATATAAACCCCGTATGATCCTCCAATCGTGGACTCTGATATACTTTAAATATGCAGAACATACTAAAATCGAATGCATCAAGAAGAGGATGTTAGAACTAATAGAAGACTCTCTGGCATTGTTAACGAAAAAAGAGGTAATTTACAAAGCGACTATCAATGCAATGTTACAGTTCGTATGTGTGTAATGGAATTATAAAGGCGGGTATAAACATAGAAATTCACCAAAAAAAGACTTAATTAGTAGATATATCTAGACAACGTAAACTCATTTGCCAAAAATACTCTTAAATAGTCACAATCTTCGGGCAGGACATTGGAAAGATGTTGTCGCGAAAGGAATATGCAAGGTTGGTGACGCACAAAGAAAAATGGAAACCAAGGTAAGGTATTCATCCCCGCCATATGTGCTTACACAATCACACAGCACCTGGTCATGGCACGGATTGTATGGAGTGAATGGAACAGATTCTTTTTTTTTTTTAATGCAATTTGCATCAAGCATGACGATCATGCCAATAAGAAGCAAGGGGCTACTGGGAGTGGAAGAGAATGAGAAGACGTTAGAAGGAACAGGAAACGCAATCCTAAACAGGAAACAAGGGACAAACATCTACTCCTGTTCAAAAGGCCAATTCACTAAAAAGATAAGTAATTTTTATTTCTTCCAGTCACATTTTATTTTCTCCCCTTCCCCAAAATTGCTTTTTTTTTCTCCCAATTTAAAAAAAAACAAATGGTAAAAACAAAACAAAACAATGGCAATGAAGTAGTTCAGTTTGAATGGGAGACATTCTCAAGAGACCAGCATTCAGTAGCAGCTGCCAAGACTTGACCTAAAATCTACAGGAACAACTAATAAAAAAATTAGAGACATGACATTGGTAATGAATTAAAATGGAGAAGCAAATAGAGAGAAACAATAAGGAAAGTCCAGAACCAAGTTTAACGGAGAATTGACATTGATGGCAACTCTTTCTTTGAATGCAAAAGAAGCTATTTACTAAGATTAAGTCTGGCACAAGGACAACTGAGAAGTGTTTTTTTTTAAATTCTAATGTTAACCTAATACAAAGCTCAAGGGCTACTCAAGGTAAAGGGTTGCTGTGTGGAGTTAGCATAAGAAAGGGCAAGATCCAGAAACCCAATCCTAAACAGGAAAAAAGGGATGAACCTCTACTCCTGTTCAAAAGACCGGAGAGTGTAAACAGGATGATGGACAAACCTATCTACTCCGGTTGGAAAGAGGAAAATAAAAATAATTAGTGAATAAAATTTCAAGTTTCAGGCAGAAACATCAGAAGTACAAAGTTGAAGGAACAGGAAACACAATTCTAAACAGGAAACAAGGAAGAAACTTTTACTCCTGTTCAAATGATCAGAGAGTAGTGGGACATAAAAATTAACACTGCATGTTGATTGTCAGTTACATGCCTCATTTCGATCTTCATACAAAGAACTAAAGATCGCATTGGTGTATGAAACTAACCGTTAGCATGTCCCAAATTTCTGGATCTATAAATGATATATATATATATGTTATTTGATATTATTACACACATATATATATATATATATATATATATATATATATATATATATATATATATATATATATATATATTTCTTTATAAAAATGCTATAAATAACACACACATATATATATTTATGTTATAATTTTCGAATAAATAATTGTATTTGCTTTACTCTGTAATGAGCACAATTTTAAGAATAGTATTTGTTGGTTATTGGAATTTATTCCGTATATACCAATCCTATACTTGATATATATATATATATATATATATATATATATATATATATATATATATATATATATATATATATATACGCTCTATCTCTGATATTGAGCACTTTATTCCATAAATATAGCACACCTTAAAACTATATTCCTTCTTTTATATATATATATATATATATATATATATATATATATATATTGATCTTATATTCAAATTATATTTATTTTATAGTTTAAGTTGTGGAAAAATTAAAAACGCTTAAATTACTATCAAACGTTAACGGCAAAATATATAAATCTGAGCTTTTTCCAAATAAGCAGCAATATGCCCAGATACATTAATTCTCTTAATCTTCTTTCCCTTTCCAAATGTCTATTCCCCTTTCTTTCCTTAAATCCCTAATTCCACTTCTGATTACTTACATCTTTACTTCTCTTTTTCTCTCTATATCGTTTCCTGTGAGATGACTTATTAAATAAGTCAATATCTGGTCATTGCCCCACTTCCACGCTATTAAGTATTGTAATAAAAATAAATTTAAAATCATTCCTATCTCTTCCTTCCCTCTCTAATTTCGACCATGTCTGTCACACTCTCTCCCTGCTCTCTATATCACTTTACGTTAACCTAAAACTACCTCTCAAAAGTGTATAAAAACTATATGTAAATTTAAATTAATTTTTTCACCTGATGAGCCAGGGAAAAAGAAATTCCCTCGGGAAATAAATTATAACCAATGAACCCTTAATGCTGTCTGTTTTCATTGAATTCCAATGTAATAAATTATAACCGTGAAATATTAGTGTTTGTGCCTTTTATATTATATTCTTGCTCTGTCCTGGACATTGAGTTCTACCTGGATTTTCTCCTCTTGGAAGCTTATTTTTTTCTTCTTTTCTACTTTCTCTTTGTTTTAACATTTTATAAAACTTCCAATCTATGTTATTTTTATTCATTGGCGTTGAAAATCAAGTTAGATTTCTTCTTGTGGAGTGAAATGGCCATTCAAATGAGGTAACTTCCGACTTTTTCAAGGCAAAACATTTCGATTTCATTTTTGCCTTGAAAAAGTCAGAAGACGAAACGCGTCAGCAAAATCTAAGTTTTTTTTACAATTGTCA